CTCCCAGCTGCAAACTTTTCTTTCGGGTATGACAAGAACCAGGGTCTTTACCTTTTGGAGTAACACTATAACCAGCCAGTTAGTAGGCTGGGGGAAGGATTTTACCTAGAGCAGTAGGTTTCTGCACTGCTGTTCAACTGGGAAAGGGCTGATCTTGGAAAAGGAAAGAAGGGCTTGGTTGTCCTGGGATAAGCCAGACATTTCCTCCTCTCTCCTGGGAAAGAAGATGCTGGAAGACATACAGAATGGAGGTTTTGCAGGAAGGCTCCTTCCAGGATGGCTAAGGGACTCGGAGAGGAGCCCCAGGGATCATAATGCTGTTGCTCATTCCTTGCTTCCTAAGGTGCTCTTAAAATTTATAGCCTGGTCCTAGTCAAGTGGTGGCGAGTTATGGGAAGGGTCTATCCCACCTGGGGATGGGGTGGTGATAAAGTGAAGAACCCATCTCTGTGAAATATACAGGATGACAGATAACGATAGGTGTGTCTTGCACAGCCTCCATGAGAGAATGGGGAAGCCACCATCGCAGGAGGGTGGTGGGTGGCACAGGCCTCTAGAAGGGTTGACAAGGGACTAGTTCCCAACTCCCTAGGTGTAGACAACAGCTGGAAGACTGAGACAGATACAGGGGTGCTCCAAGGAAATCATAATTCATGAAGCTATGGCTTTATTTTAAGGTCTGCTACGTAACCACATATATGCCACACCCCCCACCCCCCAACAAATACACGCTTATTTTTAAAGAACTTTCTTCTGTCCTCCCCAGCCCCATGGACTGAATGGGAGGTGCATCCTCTTCCTGGTCCCACCTCTTAGGACACAGTAATTGGTTAAGGAAGGGCCAATCAGAATATTTCCCAGAGCTTTATCATACTGGAGCTGATGGAGAAGCCCCTTCCTCTTCTGGCCTGGGGAGACTGATCATGATAATCAGTAACACTGCTGGGTATAGCACTGACTATGCGTCAAGGACAGTTTTCTATGCTTTACATAAACTAATTCATGCCATCCTTACAACAATCTTGTGAGGCAAGTCCTACCATTACCCTCACTTTACAGATAAGGAAACTGAGGCACAGAGAGGTTAAATAACCTGTCCAAGGTCACAATGCTGGAAAGTCCCAGAGTCAGGATTCAAAAGCAACCTATGTGGCTCCAGAGAACTTTTTCACTGCTTTCTCTTACTGTCCCAGGACGTGAGCTTGGAAGCTGCTGGCAGCCGTGCCTTACACTGAGGGGAGAAGTAGGTAAGCTGAGAATGGTGCTCATTAGGAGAGAATGGAGCTGACTGCAGACAGAAGGTGAGCTGAGAAGCAGAAATTTTCAGAGGAAGGATACAAGCAACTCAAGTAACTAGAGCCAGAGATTTTAAGATATTTCAGGAAATGTGGCAGGCAGCAATCTGAAATTGCAGCCTAAATACTCTATTTCCCATTGACCTCAAGAAAGGGACCAAAAATGTCCCAAATCAGAATCCCTCCAAAACTAATCAATGGGGACAAAGGTTACTTGGAGATTTTCTGTGGTGTCCTCACCAGGGATTGGGGATGTGCCTCCCACACCAGAGCCCTTTCCACCCTGTGCAGCTGCCCTCAGCAACAAGGTGTAAATTGGAATCCTGGGGTCATAGCTTCAGCACTGTAGAAACTTGGAATTTTAAATCGCGAGTCTGGTGATCACAGATGCCTCAACCCACAGGATCTGAGAATCACAGAGGTGAAAACAGCACTAGCTTTGAGTCTAGATCCAGGCCCAAGGAAGGGACCCCATAGCAGCCCAAGGATTCCAATTGCCAAATTCAAAACTCCCTACCCGGAGGCATCTGAGAGCTCTTTGAGCTCAGGCTCAAACCAAGAGCAGGAACCCTGTTGACAGCAACCCCAGCAGGTCCCCAGCCTCTTCAGCCGGACCCCTCTGTTCTTGGGGCAGCCCCTCCATCCCGCAGCAGCTCTGCCACTGAATTACTCCCTCAGAAGCATGCTGCCTGCCTGCACTTCCTCCTCTGTTCCTGGTGCTGTCTCCTACAGGAAGTAGCCATGAGTGGGGGTTACTGGTATGTCTGGGAAGGGACCCTGTTTGTAGGCTGAGTAGGTGGCCTTCCCCACCTTAAGATGCTTGGGTGTGATTTCCTTCTCATGACAGTTCCTGGCTCACCACTCCTGTGCCTGGAATCCCACCGCTGGCTCCCCAACCTTTCTGAATCCCCTCTATTCAATGCAAATACCTTACTTAGAAGGAAGATTACCTCATACTGCACATTCATGCTTATTGATCACCAGATATGCCCTAGTGGCTGGCTGTTAGGTCCTTTACCAGTGTTGCCTCACTAGGTCTTCCCACGGCTCAGTGAGCAGCTATTATTTCACAGCTGAGTAAACTGAGGCTCCCACGGCTCAGGTGAGCCGGTATGTAAGTGGCAGAGCAGGCGCTGAGCACCCTCCGAAGCCCTTCACCCTTGGGCCAGGCTGTGGGAGACAAGGCAGTGTGGTGGGTGAGGGTGGAGAAGTCACAGGCCCAGAGCTGAGAGAATGGAGGCTGGGTTTGTTGCCTCAGGTGTGAGACTCTGTGATGGCAGCTGGGAGTCAGAATTCTCTGGGTATTTGTGTCTAGCAAGTTCTAGCTGAAGTATTAAGACTCGTTCAGGCCCTCACAGACATTCCCTTGCACAGGCCAGTGCAGGACGTGGGGGCCAGAGTCCCCTTCCTCTGCCCTCTTCACTGTCTCTCACCTCCTTCCCAACATGAATGACTCTGGGTCTCGCCCCCCAGCCTGTCATTCCCCACTCCTCGGTTCTTACTTCTTAGCTTCCATCCCCCATTCCCTCCATTCTCTGATTCACACCCCGGCATGTCTCCTGGATCATCATCATACCAGCTCCCTTCCAGTCTCCTCGCCTCCCTCCACAAGTGACATCAGTGAAATGCACGCATTTGAAACTCAGAAGGCTCCTGGGTGCCTACAGGATGGAGCACAACCAGGTTCTTACAGGCAGGGCAGCCCGGCCAGAAATCCATGTGGACACAGCCACTCCTCACCACCCAACCAAGGGATCCCACCCTCCTCAGAAATCAGTCCGTCATGTCTTCATCAAAACTGAAGCATTCTGTCCTGGGCTCTGGGGACATGGGGGCAGATGAACCCTGTCCCCGCCATATGTAGCAGGGAGACAGAAAGGGGTGACCATGACCCAGTGTTAAAAATGGTCTGTTGTCAGCAAAATCCTTTCTTTGTTTGGTAGCAGGGTCATCTTTAAATAGGCAAATCCCCTCCCTAATGCCCTCTAGTGGCTTCCCAACATAATGAACTCCAAACTCTGCACTGTTCTGGGCAGCCTGCCCTCTGGATCCCCACAGGCAGTGATCCTCATCCACTCACACACCTTTCTGTGCCTCAGACACACCTCAGGCTTTGATAGGAACTACCTTCACTGCTGGGAATGCTCTGGGCATGATGGCTTTTACTGTCCATCACATCGTTCTGTTTTAAGCATTGCACAGCAACTGTTTCTGGTGTTTACTTGTTTATTTGCCTACTTGTTTAGTCTGTCTTTCCCACTAGAACATAGTCTCCTGAGAGCAAGGACTTGTATGTCTGAAGTAATGCCACATCCATAGCATGTAGTATGATGCCTGGAACATGGTATGTGCTCAACGATGTTTGTTGAAAGACTGAATGAGAGCCATGAGAGGGAAGCAAACATACTGGAGCCCTGAAAACCCCTGAACCTGACTCAAGGATGGGGTCAGAAAAGCTCTCTCAAAGAGGTCACCCAAAGTTGAGTCTTACGGGGTGAAGATCAGGAGTGGAGGATGGCATTTCAGGCAGAGGCAGCCCTGAGCAGCCTGGCACAATTGTGAGAGCCCTATAAAACCAGCCGTTGTTGTTGGACCAGAGTGAGGGTCAGGGAGTGATGGGAAACAGGCCTAGGCAGGTCATAGCCTGTCCCCTCAAGAGCCTTCAGCTTTAACCTCTAGGTGATAGAGAGCCATAGAAGAGTTTTAAAGCAGAAAAATGACATGGTCTGGTTTGTGCTTGATAAACAACCAGATGCATGGGAAGGGGGAGACTGGACAAAATGGGGAAGTTGGGGGCTGTTGCAGTAGTCCAAGAGGAATGAACAGCTTTAATCAGCAGAACTTGGAGACCACTGTGGAGGTGAGGGAGGGAGGTGAGAAGGATGACTCCCAGGTTCTGGGTTTGGGCAACTGAGTGGATGACTATGCCATTCATTGAGTTGGGGACACAGGGGGAGGAACAGGTTCCGGGGTGAAGATGTGAAGTTGGGAGCTTGCCGAGTTTGATGTGCTCATAGTTGGAGGCTCTGGGAGGGCAGTTAGATTGCCCTTCTCCAGGGAATAGCAGGGTGAGCTTTAAATATGTAAAGAAAATGAATTGGAGGTGACATACAGGAGGCAATGACACCTCTAGAGGGTTGACACTGGAGGAGCTGTGGTGCACTTAATTTCACCATGTACAGGCACTGGGACCCAGGATTTCCTTCCACACTGTTGCCGCCAGTCATGGACCGCCTCTCGGGGGAGGGGGAGCTCACTGTCAGCTCTCAGCTCTCACCTGTGCAGGCACACAGGCTGCCCACGTCTCCACTCATGCAGCCCTGGGGGGACCAGGAGCGTGAGCGGCACTGCTGAGGAAAGACGTGGCTGCCCAAGCCTGACTCCCATCCTGCCTGAGGTCCAGCTCATCTGAGTCGCCTTCGCAGGTGGCCCACTGGTTTTGGCACCGGAAGCGGGGCTCCGTTGGGACCCAGGTAAGGGGGGCGTATCTCTTTAACCCCAGGCCCAGCCCTGCTGGGGGCCATGACACGCGAGCAGGGGGCACGTGGAAGGGGTGAGAAGCGCTGCGCTGCCACTCCCCGGGCCCTCTGGCCGTTATCCCGCACCCAGCAGCCCGCAGACTGCTGTCTCCAGCTGTGCCACCTCAGCTGTCCCTCCCGTCGGCTGTTCCTCAGCTTCCCCTCCGTCCCAGCCCCAGCCTGGTACCTGCGGTCGCTTTTCCCGGAGGCCGCCCCCTTCCAGGCGGTCAGAAAGGCCATGGACGCGGGCGGGACTCGGATGGGGCCGCGGGCGGCCCCTCGTGGCGGCGGTGGCAGTAGCGGCAGCTCCCTCGGCAGCACCTGGACGGGGTGGGCGGGGCGGAACCCGTGGCTCCGCCCCTTCGCGGCGGGGTGCCTCCCTGCCTGGAAGGGCGTCGGTGTCCCAGGAGCTGACCTGGGGTCCCAGGACAAGACTGCTATCGACCAGAGCCGTCGAGACCACGCATTAGTCACAAGGAGAAATTGAAGCCCACCCAGGACGACCAGGGATTTTGTCTAAGGCAACACAGGGCCAGTGACACCACCCACCTCAAGGCCCTCCACTCCCACTATAGAGCCTGTCCATATCGATGGACAATGGTGTCACTTAGGCCCGTCCCTCCTGTCTAAGTGCAGAACGTGCCTTGCCAGGGCAGTACCTGAATGGGGTCAGGGGCTCGGGACTGCCCCCAAGTGCAGGGCACAAAGCAGGAGGGGCAGGCAAGGGAGCGGAAAGCTAGGAAGGCGCTGCGTAGGCCTGGGAGTGGAGGCTGCTCGCCAGGCAAGGCACTGGGATATGACCCTGTTCACAGACTTGTGATTCTCAGCACCTGGCGGAGAGATGGGGGACAGAGAATGAAACTGTCTACAGTACAGACTTTCTTTGGAACCCCATGTTTTGCTTTTGATCACGTGCATTGTTATTTCAAACAATTGCTAACAAGTAGAAGAATCAGCTCTGGAGCAATATGAGCCTCTGACAGTTCAGTCCTGCAGGCTTCCATGGGAGGCTCAACCAAGGGCAAGGAGCCAGCAAGCCCCTTGCAGAGGTACTTGAGAAGGATCACCCCAGGCCAGTGTGAAGGATGGATTCAGAGGTCCCTGGAGACTTCTCTCTGTGAGGGAGGATAGGGGTTGAATACAAGGCAGAGGCAGGGGGCTTAGGGACTGTTTCTGTCAACTTTGGGGCAGGGTCTGTATCCCAGGCACTTGTGCAACACAAACTGCTGTCTAATAAACAGTGACTAACTCTAATGTGCCAAGCCCTAAGCCAGGTGTTTTGCATAAATTCTCATTTAACTTCATCTAATTACTTACCCCCATTATTGATGAAACTGAGATTCAGAGGGGTTGACTGACTTCCCTGAGACCAAGCCTTATACTCCTACCCAGAACTTAGACCTATCTGGGGCTTCCCTTTTTCCCCCTTTCTGGGGTCTGTAGGTGGGTGGGGCATGGAGTGGGAGGCCTGGGCAAAGCAGAGAGCAGAAGCCTCAAGGATCATCTGGGCAGTTTCTCACTTTTCCTTGGTAAGCAGCAGAAAAAATGTGACCTTTCCCCTTTTCTCTGAGCATGCATGTCATGGTCTTGGCAGAGCAACAAGGGCCTGAGAATGCTGCCTATCTGACCACAAAGCTAAAGCTTCCAGATCTGGAAATTCCGGTTACAGTGCACCTAGGGGCCCAAACCCCTCGGCCCACAGAGATTTGCAGAGCTTGTCAGCAATGGGCACTGCAGATAGACAACTTCCTCTTGGGCTCACAGGCATGAATACAACAGGGCCTCAGAATCCTGGTCTCCCAGAGGGCCAGAGCCCAGCCTAATCCCAGGCGAGATTAAAGTCCCACCTACTCTCCAAGGCCACAGCCAACACCACTTGCTACTGGCAGCCCTCCATCTCCCTAACGGAGGGCATCTCCCTGTTCAGAGGTTACATTTTTATGTCTCTCTCACAGCACTTAGCACTACACACTTTCTAATCCTTGTATTAGCTATCAATGACCATATTAGTTTCAGATCTCTATCTGAAGGTACAGAGACTGTCTCACATTTGTGTCTTCCACGGAGCCCAGCACCATTGTTACACATAGGAGTTACTCAATGTTGAGAAAAGGAACTAATATTTATCATTTCTGCTCAGTGGTAGGCACTATGCTGAGGGCCTTAACATACTCTACTTCTAATCCAGACAACTCTGTTTTGAGAATATTTGAGTCAGAAGTTTAGAAATTAGATCAAATCAGGAACTGGGATTCAACCCAAGGATTCTTAAACTTCAAGGCTTGTTTCCTGTTCTCCTTTTTCTTTGACACCTTCATCATCATCATCGTCTTTATCTTCATCACCATCATTTGTTCAGAACTTTGTTAGGCATTATTCTAAACCCTTCACATGTATCAACTCATTTCATTCTCAAAACAATCCTATCAGGTATGTCCTTTTACAAACCCAATTTTTATAGTTGAGAAAGTGAGGCAGCAGATAAGCAACCTGCTCAAGGTTACAAGTGGCAGAGTTAGGACTCAACCCAGCAGCCTGACTTGAGCTGTACCTTAACCTCAGCCCTGGACTGCCTGCCACACAAAGCAGTTAGAATGCACACAACATTTACAAACCACTTTCCCAAAGCTTATCATTTAAGCTTATCATATTTTGAATCTCACAACCCCAAAGGTAGAGCAGGTTTTCTTCTTTCCCTTGTTCTGGAGCCAGACTGCCTGGGTTAGAATCTTGGCCTCACCACCTTATAGGTGTGACTTGTGCATGTGACTTTAGGTGAGTTACTTAATCTCTCTATGCTTTGGTTTTCTCATTTGTAAAATGAGGATACCACCACCTATCACAAGGGTTGTTGTGAGGACTAACTGAGTTAATGCAAACAAAAGAGAACAGTGCTGGACACATAGTGTGTGTTGTGTGTACCTCCTACTATGTGATAGTTTTATCCAGGATCAGCGGGGAATGTTTGGTATCAATATACTTTCGAGATAGATGAAGTTTTCCCATTAATTTAACCATATATAGACATTTTTCCTAAAATGCATTACTACTTTGTCTTCTCAAACACAGACATGACAGCTTTTACTTAGTGAATATCTGCCACGTAACAGCAATGAAGACTTTATATCCATCATCTTTTATCCTCACAACAACCCTGTGAAGTAACTATCATCCCCACTGAGGACCAGAGAGGTTAAGAGATTTATCCAAAGTCACACAGCTAGCAAATTACCATTTGCCAGGAATCTTCTCAGGAAGCTATGATACATCAGGGTTTTCTTTGAGAACCTCAGTTCTTGCTTAGGGCCTGTGTTTGACCTCTGTTGACACTTAAGCTCAAAGGGCTGCCTTTAATGCGAAGGGTGCAAAAGGCAGCCTGGTGTGCTGGAAGAGCAGGTCTCAGAGCCGAGACACCTGGGCTGGAAGCTGGCTTGTTCTCTCATAGGTTGGGGGGTCTTGGCCAAGTCACTGCCATCTCTCTATACCTCATGTTTCTGTTACAGTGTTGTGAAGATTAAGTGGGGTTATTTATATTCAGAGTCTTGGTGCCAGGCTCAGAGGTCTTCAATAAGTGTCAATAAGTAACTTGTCTCTTTTCCTTTTCATAAAATAACTTAGTCCTTTCAAGTTCTGACTCCAGAGGAAACAGAAAGGAGAGGCTGAAGCTAAGCCTTTAGGTCTTGGGCAGCTGAACACATTCTATACACTTATTGGAACGGGGAAGAAAAATAGGTGGGGTCTTTCTGCAAAGACACACCTTCCCCTCCATTAGATCATCTTTTACATTATTAACCTGGATACACACAACATTTGGGCCCACACTGCTTACTTGAAAAGAGATGTTTTAAAAAATTAGTGGATTTTTGACATTTTATCTTGTGACCCAGTCCATATTCAGTGACAAATTCTATTTCATGATTTTTAAAGTGCTGATCCTTAACATACTGAAAAATTTACAAAGGAAATATAAAAATTGCTTCAACATAACAAGAGGGACATGGCTAGGAATATGGATAAAATAAGATTAGATATGAATTGGTATCTATTGAAGCTGATTATTGGTATGTGTGGGTTCATCTACTTTAGAGACACCTCATTTCATTGTGCTTTGCAGATACTGCATGTTTTATAAATTAAAGCTTTGTGGCAACTCTGTGATGAGCAAGTCTCTCAGCACTATTTTTTGAAACAGCATTTGCTCACTTTGAGTTTTTGTGTCACAGTTTGGTAATTCTTGACATATTTAAAACTTTTTCATTATTACATTTATTATGGTGATCTGTGATCGAGGATCATTGATACTATTATAATTGTTTTGGCATTTTTAGCAACATTTTAAAATTAAGGCATGTACACTGTTTTCTTAGACATAAGGTTACTGCACACTTAATAGACCACAGAGCAGTGTAAACGTAACTCTTACATGTACTGGGAAGCCAAAAAAATCCTGTGACTTGCTTTATTGTGATACTCGCTTTATCGCGGTGGTCTGGAACCAAAACTGCACTACCCCATGGTATGCCTCTGCAACTCTGTTTACATTTTTCCCAAGCTGCTTGATTTACTAAATCAATTTCACAACCCAACTAATGTATTACAACCTGTTGTTTGAAAAACATCAAGTTAGAGAGGATTCCAAAAGGATTCCATATGTTACACTCACATTAAAGTACCGTTATTTCCTTCAAGAAGCATTTTCTCAGGATTTTGTTTAAAGGGAGAAAAAACCAAGCTTGCATGTTCAGGCCATCACTGATTTAATACCAATCAGAAATTAAGGTTATGAAAGAAAAGCCTCCTAAAAGGTTAAGATTTTAACCTGAATATGATGGGAACAGAGGCATATTTTGTTACAGGAGTGATAGGGGCAGATTTCAATTCTAGAAGAATCTGACTGCAGCATGGAGGATGGTTTGGAAGCAGAGAGAAAAACAGATTGGCGGCAAGGAGATTAGGAGGCTTTGGCAAAAGACTAATGAGAGATGATGAAGACCTGAACTGGGGCAGTGGCACTGGGAATGGAGAGGACAGATTTGGGAGATACTTAAAAGGCAGAATTGTTAGGTCATGCTGATAGTTTGGAGGAGGATGAGTCAGGGAGAAGTCTGGCACATATATGCTCAATAAATGAAACGATCAGTGAAAGAATGAGTCAGAGCCCAGGGACTGAGATGTTTCACTAAGAACTCAGGAACTGGGGAAAGTCAGCCTTAGGAGGAGTTAAATACAGAGTCCATACACATGATGAAAACAAAGATATGCAAAGTCACCCCAAAGAGACTTCACAGCTACCCAACCAGCCAAACCAGACTGTAA